AAAAAAAAAAACAAAAAAGAAATAAAATGATGAGCATTATTATCCAATAGCTACGTATGCCAATTTCAAAGAATTAATGACACATTTCAAAAAATTAGTGACTATCAAAAATTTCAGTTACACGATTAGACAAATGTGTACCGAGAAACTTTTGTGCAATTTATTTCGATTTGAATGTGAAAAATATCATAAAAAGGAAAAGAGAGAATGTCTAGATGCATAGAAACTACGTGCACTAATTAGTTGCTAAATTATAGTTAATGAATACGAAATTATAGTTAAATTATTGAGAAATCATCACATAGAGGTGAGAGTGAGAGAGTAAGAAGATGGTATTAAATAGTGCGGTGTACAAAATTATTTTTCCATTCTATTTTTCCCAAGACAATCCGATAAAAATCCTTAGAATTGTATCATAAAACACAGCATAATGTATAGCGTGTCATATGATAATTATATTGCGAATTTTTATATAATTTGAGAATGCACGCATCATCATATTGTATAATTTATATAACAATTTACAATTGCTTAGATCCCTTTACTAAAAATATGATTTTACATAAATACTCGTGATAGCATATGGAACATTCAAAACTTGTTATCGGCGTTTCATGCTACGTTATTCACAATTTTTTCTTGAAGAAAATTAACGCGTGTTACTTGTACTCACCGGAAAATTCGCAGAGATTGTCGATACATTTTAATATGTCGTCCAACAGATTTCTTATTTCTTTTCCATGGAATTGGAAGTTCATCGCCTTGTATATGATAACGAAAATTCCAGCAAAAATACAGCCGTCGTCGGTGCTTATCGACAAGTCGCCTCTGTTCACATAAATATCCGCAAAAACAGTGATTGCGAAGATGTACATCGTTGTCAATATCCATACTTTGTATACAAAGTAGGCACTGTTTAATAACGCCGAGCTTCTTGAGTCAATGCTTCCGAAACCACTATACCTATAAAACACAAAAAGCGTGCACTTGTCAATGTAATATATATCACCTCATAAATTGATAAAAAAAAAAAAAAAAAAATAACGACTGATAAATTTCCTAATATGTAATTCTACTATCCTTCATAACAGTATTATACCGTTCGAGAAATCGTACACACGAATGACAAACTTTACTACCACGATTCTCACTTCAAATAGCTAATCTGAATATTGATCAATTTTCGATACGATTTCATCCATTTGTGGCCGTGTTGTTGGGCCATCTTCAACGTTGTAAAGTTGCCTCTCTACGACTTGAAGGATAAAAACGTTTTCTCGTTGGCGAAGTCACCAAGTTGTCCCTATCGTACGAGTACAATTCGTTGCATAGTACTTTAACTCTACCGTGTTATGACGGGTTATTTTCAATCAATCTGACACGGTACCTCTTGAGGAAATTGCGGCCGATTTTCGGAATTACAGACTCGATCGTGGTGCACGTGTTGGGTCCCTAAGCCACTTCCGCGAATGTCGATAAAAGTGGCAGTAATTGCGCACCAATAAGCGGGCAGAAGCACGTCTCACTATGTACTTGTACGAAAGAATAAGTGACAGTATAGAGCAAAGAGTTGCAGTGCAACACAATTGCATCGTGTATTATAAGCGAAACAGTCACGGTAGTTAATGTATGCTTGCTACGATAACGTCAAGCTAGAGTGATATTGTCAACCTTTTTTTAAGCAAAAGAACTGAGTGGATAATATTTTGCATACGACTTCTGTTTCGATCTATATTATGAACCAATAATAATTTTGAAAACTAATAAAACTAGTATAATAATAGAAATAAATACTAATATATAAGTAAACGTGCGCCGCGCTAATGAAACAAAACTTCTCGAAAGTGTTGAGAACGATGCACCAAAAAAATGCAAATTTACTTTTTTTTAAAAAAAAAATGGAATCACACATTTATTATATCAATTTGTCGAAATATTCCGCGTAAAAAGGTATAACGATCAATAATAATATTCCGACCTTTCGAGTGCAGAAAACTTTATGATCAAGTTTTGATTATAAACTCAACAAAATTTCATCAGTTACTGACGATCTATCGCCACAGCGAGTTAAATTTCATACAGAAACCGAACGTAGAAAATGATATCATTTACTAATAGTGAAAAAGTTTACATGTTTTCTTGTTTTATGCCTTGAAACAAAAATTCTGTGAATGCTACTAAGATATATATATACAGTAATGCATATTTCAATCGAAGACAATCAGCTTTGTACTTCCATAAGTTTGAACATCATTTATAGGAATATGGGTTTTTTTTAAACCTAACAAGAAAGATATATTAAAATCGATTACAAATAACGATGTACGTCGATTTTAATCCACTAGCTTTAATGAAACAAAGAATTTTAATATCACAAAGATTTCATTTTATTGTTTTTTTTTTAGGACACGCTTTATTTCCAGAAGACTGTGACTTTGTCAATTTTTTGTGAAGTACACACAATGCGAAACATTCAAAGATTATAAGATATGTAAGCACACGATTTATTAAAAAATGTGCGCTATCTCGCAAAATATTGAATTTTTAAATATTATATCCTAAGATAGATTTTTATTCTTAGGATATAATATTTATTCTATCTCGCAAAATATTGAATTTTTAAATATTATATCCTAAGAAGACTTTTTACGCAGAATGTTCCGACAAAGTGATATAAACAAATAAACATGCAATTCTATTCTGAAAAAAGTGCATTTGCATTTTTTTGGATGCATTGTTGCATTCATGGAAAAAGTAAAATCGTAAGAATATAGACTTTACCATTTACCATAGATTTCTCAATATTTTTTTTTTTCATTTTTTTATCAATTGTGTTTTGTATAAAATGAAAAAAAAAAAGAAAAATTAAATTCCGGTACCGGGAATCGAACCCGAGCCTCCTGGGTGAGAGCCAGGTATCCTAGCCACTAGACCATACCGGATTATCTGAACAATTTTGTTTATTAATAGGAGTATTTGCTGTTAGTATAACATAATTATAATATACGTATATATAAGAAAATTATCACTGAATGATAGTATGGATTATGAAAGGATAGCTAGATAGTTTTCATAATCATTTCGTATATTCTCACGTTGGTTCAATATATTCACTACAATGATTATTGCAAATGTCACAATTTTGGCGATTCGTAATTGGTTTCGTTGTTAGTCAGCGTGCCATTTTAAGAATAATAAATAATAAATTACGTTTTTCCTTCAGGAAGCGGATAAAAATGGTCTATATTTGTTTTTTCTAGAATTTTCTGACAAGTAAACACACTTTGTAGCGTGTTTCATCTAAACAAACGCTAATTATTTAGATTACGGATGACTTGGATAATCTTTTGAAATATGTTGTAAAACTCATTGTTTGTGTACAATTTTTTTTCTATACACATAATTGCTCCGGGATTTTTTTATCTTTCGAGGTATGTTTCGAGATAACAAATACTCTTCGCACTGTTAAAAATTAATTTTTTAGAAAATAATTTTACAATATTCCATCTAATTCGTGATTCGAAATATATTATCTGAAAGGACATTGCAACGTATGTACATTACCCATTATTGCGAAACGATAATAATTACGAATTTTTGTAACAATTAGTTATTTTGTTTCGCTGTTTGTTTGTACAATGATCTATGGACGATTAACATATTATTTATTTACTTTTATTGAATGAAAAAAAAAATTATCATTTCGTATTGAGAATCGAACTTGAGATATTCTGCACTGTGACGTGAGAGTTTGGAAAGTAATCTTGTAGAAAGTAGAAATACTTGTTATTTTTTGTCTCAGAAGTTTGTTGAAGGTGTAAAAAAAAATTTGTCAGGAGTGGGATTCGAACCCACGCCTCCAGAGGAGACCAGAATACACATTAGAATCAGATATTTGAAAACTGACAAGGGTAAAGAGAACCTTGAGTCTGGCGCCTTAGACCGCTCGGCCATCCTGACACATAGCAATGGTTTCTTACAAATTACAAAAAACGAATTCTGCCTAGGTTATGTTTATATTTATAGTTGTGGATTATTATAGAAATATTACACTAAAATAATATCGTAATAATATTAAATAGTATTGTAACATCAGGCATTGTAATATTTCCTGACAAATGATACGTATAAAAAAATAAAATATTTTCTTCATTTTTAAATATTTACATGATAAATTCGAATTTAATGAAATATAGGTAATAGGCATGTATTATTACATTTGCAGTGCCATTTTTTTTTTAACGTGATACATGAAAAAACATTAATTTATAAAATAAAGATTAAGATATTAAAAACAGAGAAAAGTTAATCTTATGGTATAACATACACGATAGTGTAAGTTTTTTCAATAAACATAGCAATAAAAAAATGAAAAATAATCACACTATCAATGTTTCCGCCCGGGATCGAACCGGGGACCTTGTGCGTGTGAAGCACACGTGATAACCACTACACTACGGAAACCACATTTCGTACGATCTTATTAATATTTTATATGTTGTAAACAATTTATTCAAAATATTTCAATATTTCAATTCAATTTTGTTTAGTAAATTTATGCATACACGTTGCATAAAATAAAAGAGTCAAATTATTTATTTTACTATGGTTATCAAATTGTCAATGTAAAATAATGCCGCGTCGCAACTATTTCAAGTTCGCTCGATCGATTTTATGAGATTTTATACGGATAGTTACCTCGACACGGTGTGAATTCAAAGATTCTTTCTCAGACTATAAGATTCGTTTAGTTTCTCTCTACCCTGAATTCACATCGTATAGCTTAATGATAAAAATAAGGAATACACATTTCATTTTCAATAGTCGATTATTTATTCACTGCATTCATTTTGTGAAAGTTGTGTAAAGGATATTAATCCTTTTGGCCCTTGTAATTACTTCCATATATTTTTATGGAAATTTCGCGATTTTATAATGTATCATTAGAAACGAATTATTCGTTTTATTGATATTTCCATACGGGGCCCAAAAGGTTAAATGTTGTATTTAATGTATCGATATATTTACAAAATTTCAATAAATAATATATTGGAAGTCAATGAGCGTAATGTTATATAAATTATTTAGTATCATGCCTACTTTTACACTATTAAGTGTGAAATGCATTTATCGATATTACAATAAACGAAACTACTAACATTACATACAATGATGTAGTGTCAAATATTTATGCTATATTTAATACAATAAGTATTGAAATTATTATTATTAATAATTCGGATTTTATTTTTTTTTTTTTTTTTAGAACATAAATACTATTGTATTTATTATATTTAAATGCAATATTTATTTTCTTTATTGAGATCTGGGGAACATGCAAATGCTATTTTGATTGAAGTTCAATATCCTTGATTTAATGAGTATATCATAACTTGAATTTATTTTATCATGATATAATGAATATAGACTACTAATTGAACGAGTGGAAGATTAAGAAAACATGCAAACTATTATGCGCACGGAACTATGCGCATTCACTGTCTTATTTCGATTAAGTTATTGATATTGTGGAAATTTTCTTTTTGTATGTCTGTAAGGAATTATTCGTGACGTAAAATACAAATATTTGAGTGCATTTTTAAATGATAAAAAATATACGTTTAAAAAAAGGTGAGCGTTTGTATGTTCAATTAAGTTAGTAACGTAATAGCTAAATACTGTACAAAAGGTAAACAAAATTGAGTAGAAAATAAATGCTTAAAAAATAAATAAATGCAACCGTGAAAGAACATAGCAAGAACTATTTTTCCTAGAAAAATTCATTTCTTTTTTTTATCGCAGTCGGTAGTTTTTTGTATTATCAATTTATTCCGCTGCCTGGTTACTTTGGTTGTCGGCCGACTATTCGGTGCAATTTGTTTTAATCCTTGCTGCGACATCTTCGCTGGACTAGCTGCACGTGGCGGTGTTGCAACTTTCAAAAGAGCTTCGACATCCGCTAGTCGTTTCCTCAAAGCTCTGTTTTCACGTTTGTATTTCGCAAGTTCAGAATCTTTATCCAGTCTTTCATGACCGGAACTACTAGTTTCCTCCGCAAAATGTCTGAACATGAGGTGTAATTTCTCCTCGTGTTCTCTTTGCATAAGGATTATTCTTCTCTCTGCTTCTAATTTGGTCTGTTTTAAGGCGTTTGTCAATGTCTGTATCTGCCATTCTTGGGTCTCTATGTGACTTTCTAATTCAGCTGTCTGAACTTCCAGATTTTTCGAACTTTCTTTTAAATCAATTACTTTTAAAAAATACTTATAGAATAATGTCCTCATTTCGCCGTCTGAAAGTTTTGATAATCTTTCCATTAACATTCGTTCCCCTTTCTCACGTTGTGATTGATTTTCATCGAATCCCTTTCGTCCACAGATCATTTCATTTTTATGTTCAATCATAGCGTCAATCGCCTCAATTGTTTCTCCACATTCTAATAATTTTCGCTCTTCCACGGTAGATAGTGTTTTCTCCTTTTGGAATTTTTCATCTAGATCGCATTTTTCATCTACCAAACAATCCCTAGTGCGTCTCAAGTTTCGAATTTCATGTCGCAGAGCTTCTTTCTCGTCTATGTCTGCTGTTCTCTCCAAATCCATGGATTTTTCTTTTAAAACGTGATCAAGATGCGATATTCTTGCACTTACGTCTAGTAAATTTTTTTTCTTATCAGAGTAATCGATTTTTGATTTACTATTATTCTTTTCATCCTCACTTTCTGACTGCATCTCTTTTAATTTAGAAGCAGTTAAATTATACTTCTCCTCGAGATCACGAATCTTTTTCTGATCCTCTGCTAATTCCTCTTCTAATTGTTTCTTACGTTCCTCCTCTTTTTTCAATTGTTTTTTCAATTTCTCCATTTGCTTTTTAGAAGTGTTTAAAGAGCTCTCAAGTTCTAATACTTTTTTAGCGGAATCACCTGCAATTTGTTTTATCATTTCAATATCCATTAATCTTTTCTCATAATGGATAGCCATGTTTTTATATAACTCAATTTCCTTTTTATGTGCAGATTTTTCTTCTAAATCTTTATAGATGGAAGCGTTTTCCGCTTGGGCCAATTGACTTCTTGTATTATAGTATTCTTCTTCTAATTTACTCCATTTGCGCTGAAATTTTTGTTTTGCACTAGCACGTGCATCCGAATTTTTTATCATATCTGCAATGAATTTTTCTTTGATTTTAATAGTCATTTGTAGTTCTTCTATACGTTTATGAGCTCCATCTAAATCTGATTGAATCTTTTTCACTTGAGTTTGTTTTGCTTCATTATTTAATGTCAAAGTTTTCAGTTCTTTTATAGGCTCTGGTACTTCTGTTGTTTTCAACGCATCGATTAATAAATCTGGTGAATTGTCGTTATGAATTGCAACGTTTTCATTGATAATCGTTTCAGGCTTACGATTGTCTAAGGTTTTTATACTAGTAAACGTTAATAATGTTTTATTATCTAACATTTGATTTTGGTTAGGTTTGAGGCTGTCATTGAAGGCTAATACTTCATTACACATTTCAGAACCAGGAAGCATTGAATTCCTTCTGGAATTTGGATTTCTAAGCGGAATAGGTTTAGCTATAGGGACATAATTATTGTTACTATTTATAGATTTTATTATGGATGGCATAATCGCTATATTTGTTTCTCTGAATTCATCTTTTTTAGAATCTACTATTTTATCTGTTTCTAACTTAAGTTTATTCATACATTCATCTAGTTTTTCTAAAAAATCTGGATTTTCTGAACTAACATCACTGTGCTCTTCCTCCTCTTCCTCGTCGTCATCATTAGTTTCAGACAATTCGCTCTCTGAACAAGATGAACAATTTATATCGATCTTTCTTTCCATTTGATGAAGAGATTCATCTGTTTTTTCATCAGTTTCAGTTACTTCTTCTATTCTTTCCAATGATCTTCTTGCATTTTCTGTGTAACCATGTAAACTACCATTATCATCGCTGCCAATGCATTCTTCATATTCTTGCTTCATACAGAGCCATTGTTCAATTTGATCTTGTTCTGTATGAGGTAAAATATTACTTGTCATAAGCTTAGTAAAAAGGCCTTCTGCATTTGAGACTAGTTTAGACCATTGAGCTGCTGCAAATTCTAATCTGAATATATCAGCACTAGAACTCCGCTCTCCTGATGTAGCAGAAGTCATAGTATCATGAGTTTCATCTCCAGTTTGTTCACTCTCTTCTTCTGTAATATGCTGTTGCTCATGATTATTATGTGGGTAGGATGGCACAGCAGTCATATATGATGTATAACACTGATGATTATCCAACATCGCTTGATGATGGATCCAAGGTGTGTAATGCATCATTTTGGAAATTTTATATTATACAATATAATATAATACATATAGTATTATTCTCTTAGATGAGTAAATGTTTTACACTTTTGTATTACCATTTTGTTTTAAAATGTTATCACTCTTTTTTTGTTTGAAACATTCAAGTTTCAAATTACCAACGTTTCTAACCTATTTAAAATATCTCATGTTCCAAAATTATGCTTAAAATTCTTACTATTATTGCTACATTTTCCTATATTGTAAGTAATATACAAAATTTAGTTGGACATACTCAAACACATCTGACATAGAATATTTTTTACAGTTCTTTGTATTCAATAAGTAACAGAAGTGTCTAGCAGAAACTGTTGCCAACTTACGATTAATATATAAAAAAATATATTTAGAGTGAAACACACACATATATATTATTAATATATTGATGTAAAAGTCTATTATGCATTGTCAGTACATAAGTATAGAAAATAAAAAGTATAAAGTATGAAAACTGTTTCATTAGTGACGAACTCTCAAAAATTAGTTCTACAATCATATAATAAGAGTAATAAGTTTAAGTTCTAAATTTTTAAAAGATACATGATCTATTAATGTTAATACTAATATTAATATATATAATATTAACATATAATAACATTAAAAAATATTAATAAATATTAATGTGATTAAACATGTAAAATTAATATGAATCTTTTTGAATCAGTAAGCATTGGTAGCCCTGTTAATAGAATTCAACTGCGTTTCATTTGAAGTATTGAAATATTATTATGTTAATTAAATTTATAGTTTTACTTACAAATAATGTGAAAGCTAAGACTTGAATCCTACTCTGCCACCGATTTTTGTCCTTTTTAATGAATATGTTACACTTTTATGCACATTTTGAAACACATACGACATTCGTTGTTAACTAACGCGGCAAAAATCCGTATTGTACTACGGAATCAGAAGAATCAAATGAGTGTTTAAATCAAATATTTATTTTTCTAATATTTTCATGATATGTGTATGAAAATCTTCTTGACTTATAAAATTAATAAATATTTCATAAAAATAATGAAACTTTAATGAAATAGCGAAATTTTATTTAGAATTATTTGTATACAGAAATAATTTGAATGTTCCGCGCCATTTTCTTCGTTTTTACTTCTGGAATGATACAAGCACGTTGATTGGTTGCTGGAGAAACTTGCAATAGAGTCTTGTTAGTCGTTTCTGCTGTGCTATCGCGGTAGGTTTTATTAAGTGTTGTGTGTTTTTTCTACATTTCTTTTATAAATGTGCATGAAAGAAATTTAATGTAATGGTACAAGATAGATAAATATCGAATAGTATGAGACATATATTGTTTTCACAGCACATACAAACCACTTGTACTCTGAAGTGTTCAACTATAACCTCTCTCTAACGGGAGACAGCTAAGTGACTACGAAATCATAAGATTTGAATTTTGGTAAGAATACCATTTCATCATGTTTGTTTAACTTTTTTTTGCATATGAGTTATTTTTTATTATAAGTATACTTGCGTATAATCGTAATTAGAATGTATTGTAGTTTTGATTGAAGCAGCCTTGTCACAATTGGACAACTGGGGAAGAGAGTTACTACATCAATACATTAAAATTTTACGTCATGTGCATATTCACACATCTATGTAAACTGACTAGGAATGTTTATTTAACACTCGAGCTATTTTACATTGTATAATTAGATGCTTGAATGACCAAGTCTCACGTACTTTACGTAACAAAAAAATTATTTTTCAAAAGTATTAGTTTTCAATAAATTTCTTCATACAATTATATATTTTTTGATTTTCTATAAAATTAGCAAAATCTAGGGTAGAAACTATAAATAACAAGTATTAGTATCGTTATTGTTGATTTCACAATATGTATGTTTGGTATTTCCTCGAAAAGGATTACGTGACACAAGACAAATTTTTTATGATTATTGCATCAAACTAAACGCTTAATTTTGCGGTGACTTTTAATTCACTAATAATTAGTGATTTTCATAAAAATTTTAATTGCTCGCGTTTCTATTGTATCAAAATTCATTTATTCGAGTTACGTTTCAATAATGTAATCCAGCTTTAAAGCGATGTAATACCTGGCGGAACAAAGAGCATGAATGTATACCAGGCCTTAAATATCTTAGTCTCGGCTTCACAAATGAGCATATTTTGCACTGTCTCTATTACTTAACATCCGTCCAACTTTCTATTCTCACTTTCGCGCTCATTTGTTCACGCTCGTCCGCGTTGAATTACGCCCACATTCGATGCTAATTATTTTTTATTGTGAATTAAGACTACACTGGCTTGAAACACAATTGAATTACACATCTAGTATAAATTGCTCTCATATTCATTATCATGATTGTGGTAATTAATTAATGATACTTATAATATATTTAAATGGTGTTTTAGAAGAGATGGAAAAAAATAAGGGTTTCGCCAGTGGAAGTACTCAACCTTCAGCCCCACCACCATCAGCACCTCCATCTTATGAAGAGGCTGTTGAAAATGCAGCTGGCATATCTCGACAACCAAATATTCCACCATATCCAGTAGGACCATCTTCTATGCCAGTCCCAACTCGTACGTATTATTAGCTTTTTAACACATTTGCAATGCTCTTGTAGCTTTAACACATTTGCAATGCTCTTGTAGCTTTAACACATTTGCATTTGCAATGATTGCAATGCCACGTAATCACTGATTTATTTTTTCAATGGAATCTTAATTATGAGTCATCAGCTAAGTCTACTAAATATATATTAGAATGTTACGATAAAAATAAAATATTTCATAAAATATTTTGAATGATGACTACACAAAATTGTAAAACAAAAGTATGCTATTTAACAAATAATAATAACATAGTTTTTACATTAAAAATTAAATACTATAATATATATTAAAATGTTATTATGTATTAGAACAATGTATCACATTATCATGTCAATGATATTGTGCCATATCAATTCTTAGGGCATAATAGTTAATGCGTTAATAGTTGAAATATGGAAGTATTTGATGGCATATTATATGAATAGATTGATTGATATTTTAGATAATCAGCCGCCGAATCAGACAACAGTGCCATATCCACCGAATTATTTAGGGCCCAGTGAACCACCGTCGCAATCGCAAACGCAGTATAGTGCAAATCCAAATACGGCTCCTCCGCCGGAGTTCCGAGTTGTTTATCAGCCAGTAATTTATTCCTTGAGCCCAAATCCAACAAAAACGACCTGCCCGACGTGTCACACCAGCATTAAAACTACTACGATATCAGATCATCAACCAAGCGCTCATCTATGCTGTATCGTGCTCTGCTTACTTGGGTGAGTGTATTTAAAGTATTTGCTTCGTTGTTATTAATGCTTGTTCTAAATTAATTTTTACTTTTAAATTAATTTATTTCTGGATTAACGTTTTGTGTTTTGTCACGATGATTTTAATGAAAATCCAATTTCTTATTTCGGCTGTATGCTTTATGTATGCTAGAAACACTTGCAATTATTCAATAATTTCGTTTGTCGCAATCGGTTTAGTAGGTCATGTATGTATATATGTCTCTTTTTATTGTCGGTCTTGGTTTTGTTTGTTGTTTCCTGCCTTGTGATTGCTCAACTTTCAGGGGCACTGCTTTATGAATATTTGGTTTCGCTTACGGTTATGCAGATTTCTGATTGAATTCACTTTGTCAGTGGAAATATTTATTTTGTCTATACATTATATATATATATATATAGCATGTGGGTTTTGCATACTAAGGACAAGGTTTTTGTTCGTGCCTGGAATATACTGGTTTCATGTTAATGTATCTGTCTGATAGATCATAGAAAATCAATTCTGACTAATGCTCTTTCAAATTTCAGATGTTGCCTTTGCTCATGTCTGCCATATTGTATGAGCAACTTCATGAGTGTCCATCACTTTTGTCCGAAATGTAAAAATTATATTGGTACGTGGAAGGGTTGAGCTAAGCCTGAGCTATGCTGACACATATACTTGTATATTGTTACGCGGTCTTTTATGTAATCGTACACAGTGTAATGTTATGGGGAATAAGCAACTTCCCTGCTTGTCGCATTTTGCGTTAAGAGAAAGAGCTATTTGACGAGATTGTCACAGATCATATTACAAGATAATTATTATATATATATATTATATATATATATATATATATATATATATATATATATATATGTGTGATGCTTATTCCTTGCGAGATAAGATATGAATACAATCTGTTACATGTGAATAGTTTCGAATACTTGTAGATTCCATGTTGATTCATATGTGAAACGATGTGACCGAGTGCGTACGTGTGCTGTTTATAGATAGTATGCAATAATATAAAGATATTTTCGAGCGTTGAACCTGTGAGCAGTATTGTTCTCACTTACATTTGTCATATTCCGTATAGCCTTAGGAAGATCTTTTTAGGAAGAAAGAAAGAAAAGATAAAAAATTCATCTGAAACGCAGGAAAGTCATTCTCTTGCTTTTTTCAATGTGTTTCATTAGTGAGTAAGAAAGAAGAGAACTATTAGTTGAGACTGAGTATAGAATGAAGGTTGTTCCATCTCCTGTTTGCAACAATATTCGGATATTCTTATTCTCGTATTTTATTGGTGCTTCCGGAACTTTAAGTGAAACGAATTCCTGCATTATAATATTACATATATAATATACATAAATTATTGGCTAAACTTCGTTGGATACTACTTTTTAAAAAAATGTTTTTTTGCATGAGTCGATAGTAATTGATAAACATAACGATTTTGAGTATTAGAATTCACACTGGTTCAAAAATTATATCTTGTTAAAGTGTCTCCCTTTACAATTTAATGAATGAATGAATAAATAAATTTCGCTTCGTTAATCTTTGAAATAATGTAAAAATATGAAATATTTTTAGCTATCTCCTCGGCGGCCAAGAAAATATAACTTAGCTAGTACTAATTCAACATACTCAATTTTTTAATAAATTAGGTACTTGATCAATAAATCCTAAAACACAATCTGTCTCCAGTGCTATCCACTTTCGCATCGGTATGCATAAACCAAAGGAAATTTTGGAGAAATCGGGTTCAGTATTTCAAATTATTCTGTTAAGGTTTACGAAACTTTAACAATGCATAATTTTTCACAAAGGATTCTGACACTCAAAATCCTTATATTTCGTTTCTATTCATTGAATATCAGAATATGCAAAGAATAGTTTAAAAAAAAAAAAAGAAATAATGCCCGGAAACGAAGTTTAGTCAAACTATCATATGAAAGGTGATATTTTTATGCAGATTGCAGAAGGATTTGCATATTGTACGAAAAGTATCCGAATTACATTAGTAACAAGAATAAAAACGAGAGAAATTCGTCTTGCCTATTTCCGTTTATTTTGTTTAAATAATTTATATCGAATATTAACTAGCAAAAAAGACTTTCGTGCAGAGGGAAGTTTTGAATAAAAGGAATGATCTTGCGAATATCTTCAACAATATTCCGGCGAGAGAATATTTCATAAAAATGTCCAAGTTGTATTCCGTTTAATATTCTACGTGTTTAAGGTTACTCAAGCATTTCTATGATTCCATTTGTATGCACAACGATTTTGTTTTTTTAAAAAATATATTATATCCACGTCTTCTGAGCTGATTACTATTTCATTGCAAATGACGTCAACGTTGTTGCGTTGATTTAGGTCTACGTGTGATTTACACGACCAATTTTTTAGAGTTATAACATATAATATATGTATTTTAATATATGACATTTTTCTTGTACGTGTTTGACGTAATAAATTATACTTTGGTTTTCAAATATATATGTTACGTAGGTCAATGTGTAAATGCGATCGAATTTTATCTGATTGTAAGTAAAAATATGACAGAGTTCAGTCACATAGTCATGAATAAACGATAAAATGCTTTATAATTGTCGTTTATTTAATTTTTATAGGCATACAAGATATCGAACGAGTTTGAGAGTATATATATATATATATATGTATATTTCGTTTTTAATGAAAAAGATTAATTTATATTTTAGTAATTGGAAAAATTTACGCACACTACATAATAATTTTCTTCATTGCTTCTCGGAAAGCTGTCGAATTGGAGAAGAAAATATTTCTCCTTCGACACAGCTAGACTTTGGTGGGCAATTAATATTCCGTTTTATACGTTCTACATATAATCGACATTACAAAATTTCTCTACAAGTAATATTGCAGTGTTGCTTTAGTGATACGGTTAACACGTTTGCTGTCGTTCAACAGCACTTGTTCGTTATGTGCACGTACTATATACTGTCAAGTACAAATTTAACATACTCTTGGACAGTCGTGATACTATTGAACAAATTTTTTAATGAAAAGGACAAAGAAGCCGAGGGTGTTGACTCGTTGGAAATATTCAGAAGCAAAATTCTTCAATCGACGTTATAGCACGACGAATCCTTCGTGCTATAAAAATACACGAAATCAACACCCCCAGCTTCCTATTCTTTCTAAACGTTCTACACGAGGGTTTGTAACAAATCACCATGAGGAAGAAATTGTTGTTGAGCCACGGAGGAGTACTCCATGTCGATTGGTTTGGTGTTGTCACGAAGTGCTGGAGCTTCGCAAAGAATGATGAACGTGCCAACGATTGAAGCTATTGTAAAGATCCATAGGAAAAGTCTGTCGAGAACCATCGCAACGAAACCCCAATCCTGATCCTCCTGTGGTATGAAGGAAAATTATAAAATTAAAAAAATTTTTACTCGGCCTCTTCTCACCTTCATTCAGGGCTTGGAGACCACTATACGTACCGCGTTAAACTCGTCTTGCCGCTGTATGTGATGCTGAATGAACATCACGTTATGTAAAGCTTTTTCAAGCTCGAAGGGATACTTCTTTCTGGGCGTTACATCGCTTAGAGATTCATCTAATCCGGACATTACTGTGGGAAGTCCATTGTATCCACCGATACCTCCAAGGAATCTGTTATGCGCAGTCGTGTGCAGTCCATTGCATCCTGAAAAGAATCGCCCTTTCACGCCTGTTTCCTTTTTACTTCGTTGAAGGCTAAGCAATCAAATAATACCAAATAAAAATGCTACAATCGAAGAACACGAATGGAGTAATCTACGTTTTATTTTGACTGGTTGTGAATAACATAACTAAATAATAAGAGCATGAATATCCATGATTTGAACAAAAAAGTTTTCATAATGCAGCAAATCATTGGTGAGACATAGTTGGGCAATACGTGGATAATTTGAATGATATACTTACATCAAAAGAGTTTGTGCTATATGTCAGATATACTCTGTTGGTATTGTAATTTTTTAATTATAAATGTAGCTGATTTGCAGCCACAAATATTTTAATTTCTTCAGAATTCGTGAAACTGCACGATACGACAAAAGAAGGAATAATAATGATAGAAAGAATAAGCAGAATTCTCGTTTCGAAGAATACAAGTGAAATGTGGAGTTAAAACGAAGTTAAAAGAATAAACGATTTATGGTATTTACCGCCGATTCGTTGATGTCGAGCAGAATCCGGTGAAGAGACTATCGAAGAGGATTGCATGGCAGCCGCGACCGCAGCGTTGAATTTGCTCTTTTTGCCGGATCTTCCTCTGCCGTGTATCTTGTGCGCGGCGAGATCGTTTAGTAGATCGTCGGGCACTCTCATTAAAAGGAGTTTCGGTAATCTCCTTATGAAGATCTTTCTAACCCACGGCGCCATTTTATGAGTGCTCGGCTTGCGGTAGTGAACGTTTAGTATAATGATGGTAATAATTACCGAGAGACCGACTAAAACCATAGTGAAGAGCAAGTATTTGCCTAGCAGCGGGAGTGCTAGCGACGTGGATGGTATGATCTCTGATATCAAGAGGAAAAACATTGTCTGCGACAGGAGAATGTTAATGCAGAGAGCGATTTTCTCGCCAGAGTCGGCCGGCAAATAGAACGCGAGCACCGACAAGTAAGAGATGCTCACGCACGGCACGATCAGATTCACCGTATAGAACAGCGTTTTCCGACGTAGTGTGATGTTGAAGAATATGTCCGGATACGGTTCCTCGCAGCAGGGATAATACTTCTTGTGTCGTTCCGCTGGGACACCCAATATATCCCATTCGACACTGGGGTAGTACTCGCGAAGATCGATACCAACTTCGACTTTGTCTCCCATGTTTTGATTAATGTGTTTCAAGTCGATCTGTTTCGTAGTATCAGAGAATCATATCGAGCTGTAACTGTTGTGTAAAATAGCTGCATCTTTCGTGCAGAAATTTACCTGAATACCGTCGTAAGTCCACGAGCCGAATTTCATGAAGCAGGTTTGTTGGTCGAACGGGAAGTATCGGACATCTATCTCGCAGGAAGATTTGAAAATTGCCGGAGGTGTCCAAAGGACCTTGCCAGTGTAATGCAGAATAGCTTTCGTCATCGTGGTCACACCGTATTCCCCGTCCGCACTGCAACCGATCGTGTTTTTAATTTTATCTGGCCAGGGCCATCGTTAATGTGAAAAGTTCGAGATTGAAGTTTGCGGTTCATCGGACGTACTTGTTGTAAAGTACAATGTCGGGAAGCCATATGTGCTCGCTAGGTACGTAGAGTTCAGTGACACCTCCGTACTCTGCTGGATCCCACATAAATTTGTGGTCCTGCCATTCCTGGGTGAAGTTTGTCTTTATCAAGCAATGTACATAGTTGGCGAACTGACTGTCGTCTAAACTATTTGAAACTTACGTGCTCGAGCCAAACGTTCGTCGTGAGTATTTGATCTTTCAAATTCTGCAAATTTTCAATATTA